CACTTAGGAACATGAAAACAACAAAAGGAATTGTTAAGTTTACAGATCCAGGCCGTGTACTCACTGGTTAGCTTCAGCGTGCAGTAGGTGCCCCGGAACAGAGCTGCAAAAACTGTGCCACGTTGCTGGCAGGTTCACCACAGTGCCAGGGACACCACGAAAACATGGGCGACCCCAGTAACTGACAGTGAGACTTGACTGCAGTGGCACCTTTTCTCCCTTATTTGCTAGATCTTATTTTAAACTATTTCTTAAATTTAAACTGTTGCAAACAAGTCCAAGAAATGCTCTTACATAAATGTTGTGCTGGAAGGTTGCCCAGGTCAGTATATGCTACATTCATTGTCTCGCAAAGCTAAAGTATCTCAGGCCTCTTGAAATCTATCAAAATGCTTCATCTGTCACTTCTTCCTGGTTAAACAACGGGAAAGCCTGGCTGTGCTACTAAACTCATCAACAAATACTTACCAGGCAAAACTTAGGGGCCTGAAACGAGGTCAGGCGGCACAGAGGTTTGGTTCCACCCTTGGCCACCTACTGAGGTCTGTGGGACTGAATCTATCCCTACCCTGGTGAATTAGAACCAAACTGAGCAGAGTTCAGACAGATCCGTAATTTGTCCAAGATAAATGGTTCATGAACACTTTAGTTTTACATTTCTATCATGCATTGTTATTAGTATTTTTGTAAAACAAATCTGTTGTATGCAAGGAAAATAACTCAAAGCTTCCACTCTAACATTTCAAGATGGAAACTTGGCTGGTAACCTACTTCTATTTGCATAACACCTTTAATTAATTATCTGGGCTACAATTGGATTAAAAAAAAAAATAAGACATAAGAATATGATGGTATTTCCCAAGAAAGAAATACAAGATTTGGAAAAATATTTAAGTCTCTGTGTATGCGCTTCTGTTCTACAATGATCTATTCAAACCTTAGAGCCACACAAAAGACGTGCCCATCCCTATGTATGCTGTCAATTAGGGGCACTGCTGGTGGGGGCAGGAGGGGAGTGTTTTCCCCTCGTGGCACCGCATTTGTTTCTCCATTAAAACTCGGGCCTCTAGAGGGCAGCATTAAATCAGCGTTCAACAATTCGGGCACCACGACCCAGGATTACTGTGGAGTACAGGGAGAATTTACAGGCTAACAGCACACGGTTACTGGCCAAGGGTGGCTGCGTACCATTACAGTAAATCCAGGAATTTCTGGCATCTTGACTATTTTAATTAAGGTGCCTGCTACAGATGGGTGAGATCTTCCATTCTGGCCCAGGAGTTCAGGGTATTGGTTATAAAATCAAGTGCCACATGTACCGAATTGACAGATGCATTCTGAGCTGTGGGCTGGGCAGACAGCAGGCACTGCAGCCGGGGGCTCTGCACGTATGGACTGCTTCAGCTTCCTGCTGACTGCAGTCAGGGCCAGCAGCAGAAATGGGACACTGAGCTGAGGAAAGGGAATAAGAGCAAAGGAGAGAACAGGCTTTCCTGCATGAAAGCCGTGGTCATAAACAAACACACTTCTGGGACAACAGCTATCACAACCTTAAAAACCCGGGGAATGACCGGTGTCAGTCCCTGCGGAACACACGCTGCCATTGCACAGGGTGTCTTGAGCTGCTGAAACCTCCCGTGCATTTTACTGGTTTGCTTAAGAATTTCAAATGCAAAGATAAAAAGCTCACACATATTTTATCTTTTGGTTCCCTAAAAAGAAGCACACATTAGAAAGTCTGGTATTATAAGAAAATTCATATTTCAATACACAGGAAAAAAATCCATAGGGAAATAAACTCATTACCATGACATACATACAGCGAGCCTTAGAAGCAGCATGTACGCGAAAGAAGAGTCCCCCTGGAGAGTAAAACAAAGCAGAGAGCAACATCCTTCTTGTTTCTTTTAAACTAAAGTCCCGGTGCATTAGGGCTTTGAAATGGGTTCAGTCTGGAGTCAGACCTGGTTTTATCAGCCACCCGTTTCACAACCCAGAGAAATGCTCCTGAACTAGCTGGCCAAGCCCGCAATTAGGTCAGCTGCACAGCTAATTAATCTCACCTGCCCCCATCCACTCAGGCCAAGTCATCAGGATCCCTCTGGCAAGGGGCCCCTGGAGCTGCCAGCGTGCTTTTGGCACCACAGCCACAGACACGGGAGATGTTTGGCTGTGGTCACCCCCCCAAAATACATTCACAGCCGAACTCTGGCAGGTGGTCAATAATTTCAATTTGATACAGAACAAATCTTACAGAAAGTGCTCATCCTCTGCTCCCGGGCAGCAGAGAGGTGGCTATCTGAGCATAATGGAAATCACGGTGCTTGTATAGTCAGTTAAACCAGACTAATAAATTCTGTAAACTAGAAAACAAAGATAAACGTGAGTTGGCCGGCCTTTACATTCCCCAGGACAAGTAACTCAAGTGTTTTAACCCAAGTGTTTGTTCATTGATGAATCCACAAAGCTAACACGTTAACGATTTCAGTGATTGAGATAAATCAATGGCTCGGTCAGTGACCTACATTTCACGAGCATGAGCAGCCTCAATCATCTTCAGCATGTCAGTCAGCTTTATTGCTGCTGACATCTAGTGGTAACATCCAGCTGCATTTCTCAATTCCCATAAAACAATCTTACATTCTCTCAAGCCAGAAAAAAAGAGAGGTTTCCTGAGGGAAAAACGCACTGCGCTGTGTGAGAGGCTGAGATAATTACCGAGTTTTTGTCTGGGACTGCCAATGCTACCTAAAAGTAAAATTTATCTTCATGAGCTATTTGCAAATTCAAAGTATTAAAAACCCACATAAACATTTTCATATGGAAGGAGAAAATAATCAACTGCTCTGGCATGAACTTGCTGAGCAAAGCACATCTTTTTTTAACTCTTCCTCATAAGATCATGACTGCTCTGAAGCAATTTATCATTTAACAACCCACTCTTCCAAATCTGTGTGGAAGGCACGTGGAAGTCTGAACGGATTTCCTTAGACCGTACAAAGAGCAGTTGCTCTAGCAGTTTCCGATTTGCAGTGTATGACACACAAGGGACACAGCTCAAAATGCACAGGCTACCTGCACCGATCCCCTGCACTATCCGTGCCCGGGGAGCTGTGCCACGTCCTGTGCCTGCCGCCACTTTTGGAAACCAAAGCCCAGAGCAGCTGCTTCATGGCTGCAGCTCTGTACGAGGGCAGCAAAGCTGCGGCATCTCCAGCATAAACCCCTGCAGGAGGCCTTTACCTGGGAACTGTCCAGGGTTACCTCTAAAATGTTTGGCAGCCAGGCTGGCAGTGCTGATGGGGACAGGTGCTGGCTGCAGCTCCGAGTCAGGAGGATGATTCGAGCCTTCCTCCCAGACGGGCAGGGAAACACCACGAGCGGTCCAGAGCATGGGGACTGGGGAAGAAAAACCCCGGTTATGAAGTTCAGGTGACATAACAAGAGCTCTCTTCCTCTGTTACAAGCAAATGTCTTGGGTTCTGTGGTGCCAGAGGCTCTGTGTTGGGAGGGGGAAGGCTGCCGCGCAGAGCGGTCAGAGCAGCGGGTAAAGCACTGTTTGGTATTCTGTATCGATGTTTTGCAGGCCTGGCAGTGGTCACAGTTGATGCCTACAAGCACTGGATATTCCACAAGTTGAAGACGGAATACTGACTTGTTTACCTGAAGATAATAGGACTTCGGGGTATTTCCTCAGAGAAAATATAAATTTTAATATAATTTCATAAGCTTTGGAGGTTAGCTTGTCTCGTAGCTTCAGTGATATCAAACTTCTTCAAGTAGGAGCTAGATAGAAAGCTGTTTAGTTTTTGCCAGCGTATGTAAAACAAGACTTTTCTATCTGCATTGTAGATTGTTTGTGGACACTTCCAGATTCTTGTGCTTTCTGCGGTCATTCTGGGGACTGAGCTCTCATTGATACCAATAGAGGTTCCACGAACAGGACATCTGCGGGATATCAGGCGTAGCAGCCCACAGCGTGGTTTGGAGTAGTTCATTGTTTTAGTTTGGAGGTGGCTGGGGGAGACGGGAAGAGCAACTGTACGTTAAGGGAACAATTACAGATCTTCTTCCCAGTGACATCAATGAGAGATTTGCCTTCAACCTTCCACAGAAGAATTAGCTTTAAATTGGGACAGAAAAGGGGTTTTTCAAAAGAATTAAAAGCCAGCGGGAGCTCGTTCAACTGCTCCGTACGCCTCTAAAACCCCCCACACCAAAAGTGATAGCTAATATCATGAAATGGAAGTAAATAAAATGCATTTTCATTGCTGTTTTGAGTTAAATAATTCTCGTTTCTTGATTTGTTAGTTCGTCTGAATTTACAGATTTAGTCTGTACAGCGACCGAGAGTACGGTCAGGAACTGCTGAAGCCGTGAAGCGTAGCCACAAAGCAAGCAACGCCTAGGTGTAGACCCTAAGCAGCAAACAAAGCTAGGTAACAGCAGGTTAAAGCCTACAAATCTAAATCTTGTGCCCCCACACCTACCAAGCTGGCAGCTTCCCCTGGGGCTGATAACCGCATCCAATCCCGTGAGTCCCCTCTGGCACCGCTGCCCTCAGAGATGCAGGAGCAAGGATCTGACAGGGTGCAGATCTGCTCAATACACCAAAAACGATTCCCTTCTGTTCTCTTAAATTCAAGGCCACAAAGAGCCCTTCTATCATCTGGTTTGATACCATGGTCAGGCTCTTAACTTCACCTCAGACTCCTACACACAGGCAAGCAACTCGTATTGGGCTCAAGTATTTCCTCCAGAAACGATCTGTGAAATCATAGAGGCATTAAAGAAAGGGGATTCCATCACCGGGCTGGTTAGGATTAACCTGCCTCACCATTACAAAGCCATGGCTTATTTTATGTGATTTTACGTAGCTTCAGCTTCCAGCCATGGGATGAACTTGTTTCTGTAAAGTATCTCCTCCCTCTAAAGGAATCCGATTGCCTCAATCTTCATTGTAAGCTGAACAGCCTTGTCTGTAAGCCATTTTCTTCCTCCCTGAAACATTTTTTATGGCTCTTTACTGCATAATCCTTGTTTTTTTTTTTCCTCCAAATCTTTAAAAACAGCTGGTAAAGATGTTGGCAATTTTTTTTTTTAATTTCTGTCACTAACGCAATATGCAGAGAAAAATCGTAACCATCATTTTATTCATTGCCTTGCTCTGCATGGGATGTGCCTGGGATAATTAAAAGAAAGAGACCAGAAAAAGGGAATGAAAGGAGGGTGAAGAACGTGCAGAGCTACAGAGTTCACAATCAAACCACATAAACCCAAGAAAATCAAATGCAAATGAACCCTACAAACCAAAACAAATGCCCCAAACTCGGAGATTTGGGAAGCCCAGTAGCAACGGTCCAGGCTCTGTTGCATACGAAAAGACTTGAGCAGAGCCCTCCCTGTGGTGCAGCTCTGGACCGGCAGTTTTAGCGTGTTTGAAATTTTGCAGTGAAGGTTTCCGCGGTGGGATCTGCAGTAACAAAGTGCTCGCACGTCTTCAGCCCCAGGCCAGGACCCGGAGGCGCTTCCTTTTGGGATAGAAGCTTTCCTTGACAGGAGCAGAGATCCGCAGGCAGTCCCGCTTGTTGCATTCCGCCAGAGGCTCGCTAGGTCCATCACAAGGGCAGGCTAGCGATGCAGGGAGCTTGGCGTTGTTTCCTCTGCCAGTTTGCTGGCACACAGCAGCTGCTTCCATACCTAGGGCTGTGGCCTTTTTTTCTTCTTCGTTTTCAGCCAGGTTTTTTTCGCTCTTTTAGCGTGCACGTACAATGCAAATAGAGTTGAGAGCCAGATTAGGGCAGGGACTCGTCCCTGCAGCGTGCGGTGAGGCACACGAGGCCACACGCCGCCTCCGTGCTGTTAGTTCACGCAGCAGCGTTAGCAGTGAGCACTGCTCATTCCCAGCCAGGGTCACTGTACCTCTATCACATCTCGCTGTTACCATGCGTAGCTGACGGGTTTGGGAGCTTTACAGTATTTTCAAAGTCCATAAATGGCAGAATCCAGTATAAAAAAAGGTCAATATATTACTGTCGAAGGTTTTTTTTTTTCCTTTTTTTATACAAAAATTAAAAAGATCAAAATATATCACATTATTTACACACTGTGTTTCATGCTTAGAGATCACTGAAAAAGAACACAGACAAACATTTTGATCAAGAGAAACACTCCACTACTAATCTTCCTGTTAACATAAGGACTGATGGTCAGAGTTCTCTGAACATTAACAGTGCATCCAAACAACTTACCACAAAATTAAAAACTTACATGCTAAGAGCATGCTTATGTTCTAACGGAGGGTCTGCAGCCAGTTAGTAACATGCCTGCTATTAACTGATGTGTGTCCGTGTACCACGCTGGAAACTGGGTTAGTAATCCTGCTCAGCTTCAGCGTCACAGCCCTGCTGGAGGCCAGACATTGCAGCAGCCTCGTGTCAGCCTGGATCAGATGCTTGTCTGGGGCAGACATCTCTCCTCGCTCTCCTGGGCTGCCTTGGGCACTGGCCACCCCTCCCGAACACCCCCTGGCTGTTCCAGGTGCACGAGCCGTTAGGAATTACCTGCCCCCGTGCACCCGGATGTGTTGGTCAGGCACTGAAACAGCGCAGTAATTGGGATTATAATTACGGTGGCAGAAAAGCCTCAGTTTGGAAATTGATATTGTGTAACTGTGACAAAAGGTAGCTCCTGCTCCAGTCTCAGCCAGGATGCAGCGCGTTTCCTAGGCACGTTTTGGAGGGCCAGGGAGTTTTTGCACGAGTGGCTCCAAAGCTGCTGGGGCCGTAACTGAGGCCTCGTCTGAGTGAGCCTGACCAAACGCTCTGTTACTGACAACATTTACGAGAACAATTTCTCAGGCTTAGCAAGCTTTTGGAGTGGTGTTCCTAGCACTAGATACCAGTCTGCTGCCGTGGGGAACACGGCACGAAATGAGGTCGAATCCTGCTCCCGCAAGGCGTGACGCTGCCTGCCAGCTGCAGGGCAGTGCGTAAAGGGAACGCAGTCGCACAATCACCGTGCACCAAACCAGCTACTCAGGGCCTACTCAAGGATCTGTTATTATTATTACTGTACCTTATGCCAACATCCCGCTACTGGCAGTCCATCTGGTCCCTGCAAAATTGAATTTACAGACTTAAATTTCTGCTGACAGCGATTTCAATGTCAGACCCAGAAACCCAACGCTCAATCCTCACAACAGCGATGAGAGGTTTAGCAGGAAGGTTAATTACCATGCAAAATCTACACACTATGTCCACAGAGATAGTCACTCAGTGTCACACACATGATGCTGAGTACACCCCAGGGTTAAAAAAAAATAAAAATCCACACATTCTTTTCCTTGAAACAAAAATAAAGGAAATGCAAACAAATATAAAATCTGGAACCTCAGTTAATTAACTCTATAATCTGTTTCTGTTCTTTGTGATCAGACCTATACATGGAAAGCATGATGTGGAAATGTATCTTGTTAATAACGCGCTTTTCGGGTTGGGGTTAGTAGGTATTTTTGACGATAACCTGATCATGTTAAATTCAGTTCTGCAGTACTTAGCTTCTTTAAGAAATCTCGAGTTGCTGAACTGATTGAAATAGAGTAAGTTGTGGACTATGCAAAGGGAGTGAAAGTATTTGTCTTTTTCTGATGGAGATACAAGAAACACACAGAACTCAAAGCCTAAGAGCTTGCTTGCCAGGAGGAAATCACTGAGAAGGAAGGAGCCCCTTAGAAGAGGAAGGACTGAGTGTGACCGACTCCTTCAAGATACTCTTGAAGAAAACAGCTGCCTTCAGCTGCCTTTTCTGATGCTGGATTTTTTAAGGCTCTTGGATCTCTGGTTGCATCAATTTGTGCATGTAGAGCCACAGAGAGCACCCAGGCACTGACCCCTCCCTCAGAACCATCTCCAAAGCAAGCAGGGGCTGGAAGCCACCAGGACGTGTCTGCAGCAGAGAACTGCTAGTGCAAATAGAGGTCAAAACGCATTTTTACATTTTTTACTGTAAATGTCAGTCATCACATTTTTTGTATTCTGTATTGATTTTATATGTAAAATAGCCTATGCCCAATAAAAGAGATGCAGTGACGCAAGGTGACCCTCTGCAGCTGCTCACAGCGTGACACCTCGGGTTATTTGCACGCGCCTTCCTGTAGATTACAGATTTGGAGGCACACACAAATTTCTGCTGACACCAGTCAATGTTTTGGTCCATGATGATAAAAAGAGACAAAAAACGTGCAACACGTGCATTTGTCAGAGTAGTTGGGGTGAAGGCTAACGGGGACAACACGCAGAGCAGGTGTTGCCCCCAGGGAAGCCCTGGGCTGCTGTCAGAGCCCCCCAGCACACCGACCCTCACAGGGCTGACGATGCCCTGGGCCTTTTCTCCCTCCCACTGCACTCCAAATCCTCATTTGGCCATCAGACTCCACACGTTTCTACCACGTTTCACTCGAGTGATCCCAAAAGGACTCAGCTCACAGAGCGCTTCCCAAACCACGCGTGAGACTCACGCTCGTGCTCCTGGACCGAAAGCAGTCGCCAAGAAGCCAGCAGCCCCTGGCCGTGCCGAGGACGAAGCCGACACGCGGGCAGCCCACACGTGCACGAGCCACGTTAACCAGCTGCCTGCAGGAGAAGCCACCTTCTGCACCGGCAGCATAGATGGGTCTCGTGTGCTCTGTAGTTCAGACGGGACATGCTTAGTAAATAGAACATCTCCGGGGAGTAAATACGAAGAGCTGGAGCAGGCCTGCTGCTAATCATTGGTTTCTTTGACACATCTGAAAGTAATTTAACTTTTTGAAAGAGAGACAGCTTACTGCCCTTTTGTTTCTCTGAAGACAACTGCAAATCATCTAGCATGCAGCATTTTCTATGGTTAAAAAAATGAAAATAAAACAATGACCTCGTTTAGCTAGTCATGCAGAACCCTCTGGATCAGGGAGCAGAGCGTGAACCTCTGCATAATCGGTGGACTTCAACCCGAGCTCTGCAGCACGGAGCTGGCACAGCAAACACCACAGCAAACGCCTTTTTGATGCCTCAGGTGCCAGTGACCTCCTCCAGCCCTGCTGCACAGGTTCACAGCACCCACGGGGACAGCCTTGCAAAACCCAGCTGGGAGCCTGACGTGCGGGGCTGCAGAAGCACAGGCACGAGGAGAGGCTGGGCCATGGGTAGAGAAACAAGAACCGAATTTCAGTACGTGCTGTTGGGAAGGGTCGACTCCCCTGGTTCCTTGTCTGAAGGCATTTTAACTGTGGGCAGAAGGCACAACGCTTCGGTGTCCTACAAGTACCAAAGCAAAGCGCTGCTCGCTCTCCCTGGAGGGTTCACTCCTGAGGACAGGGCTCAGGCACAGCAGGAGCACACACGAGCCATGCAAGGAAGGCAAAGAGCAGGTACTGTACCAACGGGCAGGGCACGCTCACCCCGGCCAGGCCTGGCAAGCCTGGCTCCCCTTGGCTGCCCGAAATGCTACGATCTCCCTGCGCAGAAACAAACAGAACCGCTCGCTGAGAACGACCCCGGAGTCACTGAGCAGACATCAGTGTGTGAGCAGAAAGGCAAGCACATTGTCAGAGCTCCGTGCGCCCGTTTCTGATGACACAGCAAGTCGACAGAGGCGCTGCGTGGTGGGGAGCAGACACACACAGCCTCATCTGGGAAATATCTCCTGCGGCAGGCCAGGGGTTCACATTTGAACAGCGCAGGGAAAAAGAGGAGGGTTAAATCATCCAGCATGTTAAGTGAAGAAAGGTGATCCGTCAGAAACAAATAATGGTAGTTCTCATTCAGTCTCCAAGCAAAATTCAGTACACTGAGCGAGGGACACGGCTGCTGGTACAGGAGCTGCACGGCAGCTCCGATTGCCATGGCTGTGCATGTCGTTAAATGAGGAGCAGTAATGAAAAGGAGGTAGATTGCAGCAGGCCAAATAATCAGTGCAGATTTTATTCTGGGCCACATCAAAGATTTGAGACATTGTGGAGCAATCCACCTTGCTCAGACCTGGAGGAAGGTTTCTGGAAAGCCTTTTGCCTGCACGCTGTGTGACGGTGGCCCGGGATGTGTCTGAGAAAGGACAGATCTGAGGCGCGAGCTGCTATCTCAGGCTGAGAAACACGGGAGGTCTGTGCTCCCAGAGGCACTTTTTGGCAGCCTGAGGAGCTCATACATCACATCGCTCTGGCAGTATTAAGATGCTATCAACACCAACCCGCTTCCCCACGCGGGAGAGCTGCAGCCAGCTTCATCCCTGCTCGGTGTGGGAGCCGGGATGGAGAGCCGACCTTGCTTTCGGATTGCCCCCCGTCCCGTGCCTCAAGTTCCTCCCCAACTGCAAACGTACTCCAGCGCAGGCAGCTTCACCAGGGCACGCTATCTCCTGAAGAGCATTACTGAAGCCCATTGTTCCCGACTACAATAAGAAGGTCTCTGCACAAAGATTCTTTAGTTTTACTGCTGTGGCTTGTTCCCATCTGGCCAGTGAGGAGCCCTTACAGTGAGCAGGGAACTTCCAGCAGTGCAGATAAAACAAACCATTAAGAAAAGTGAGAAAACAATAACCATCTGCTCTGATTTACTGCGAAATAAAGATCTACCAAATCCTCCCTCGCTTTCCCTGGCTGCAAAGCCACAGCCACTCACAGTCCCTGCCACGCACGCCAAGGATGAGCAGAATAAACAACGTACCACGGGGCAGGGCTGATCCAGTCCAGGAGGGCCAGGTTCCCCCTTCTGCCCTTTGGCTCCTTTTCTCCCTGGGATTCCTCGCTCACCCTGTCACAACGGGAAAATAAAATCAGGAACAGGAGGGGCGACTGGCAGGGAAAACACACCTCAGTTTCACTTGCACAGCAGCTGCTGAGCCCCAAGTCTCATGCAGAGTAGGGATGTCTGCACTGGTGCAACCTCAATTGAGCAATTAAATGAGTGAAAATCTTCAATTGAAGCTGGGTAGAAATATTTTAATAGATAATTTTATAACAAACGGACTAAATGACCGGTTTCCGCTAGAAACCAGGTTGGTAGCTGGCAGCCAGGGCTTTGGGGCAGCCCCTGCCAACACGGCTGGAGCACCAGCTCCCAGCTGCTGCCACCAGCCGGGCACCCTTTTAGTTAAGGATCCCTATTACAAAACCTCTAACTTAGATCCAATTTCAAGGTCCATAAACCAAAACTAGCGATTCTTTGCAACCCAGAGCTGTCAGGCAGCTCCAGCTCCTCCAATGTTTGCAGGCTGCAGGAGGGGACAGGCTTGCAGACAAATATTTCTGCCACAGAAAAGGCCCTACAGCAATAAACCAAGAAATGCTGCTGGGCTGGAGGAGACCCCAGGGCTGCAGGAGCTGCCACCATGGCCCCCTGAGCGGAGCAGCCAGTCCTGCCCCTAGCCAGCCCACCCCACGAGCATCCTTACAGCCATAACGCACTCACCTTCTCCCCTCTTTCACTCTTCTCTCCTTTCTCTCCTCTGAGTCCTGGGAAACCCTATTACAACAATTTTTCAGTGGGAAAAGAAGAGGTTTGTAAGCTTGCTTTGAGCACATCCCAGCATCTCAGTTAACAGAAGCAACCCCCTGCAACCAACCTGCCCTCCCAGTGGCAACGGACACGACACATTTGTTCTGTCTGACTTTGGATCTCATCGATTTCTTGGGAAAGCCAGTGCTTTAACACACCCTAATAATACTTCATCCACAAGACATCTTTGTTTTCCTGAATCCCATACAAATATTCTCAATGGGGAAGGGGAACTCCTGTAGCACCTCTGGTTCAGCAGGGAGGTGCCACGGGGTGGTGGGGTTACCGCTGTCTGGTGGAAGCAGCCGCTCAGCAGCTGGCTTGAATTAAGCCTTTTCCTACTGACATTGTTCCAGGGACAAAGGGGAAGTAGCCCATACCACGTTAGCTATATATTTTTGCCAATGTCAAGCAATTTCATGGCTTTTACATGCGAGTTGTTCACATTTCTGCATATCACAATTATGGTCTCCATACTCACATCCAGTCCTGGCTCCCCCGGCTTTCCCTGCAGTTGGAAAAACAAAGAGGAGACACGCTGGACTGGGTGCACACAGCAGGTTCAGGATGGCACCCGTAACCCCTGGCCTTGCTGTGCTGGCAGGACCCACTGTGACAGGGGTTTTAAGGCCCCTATTTTAGGATTATAACACAATTCCACCTCTCCCATCCCACAGCAGTGATTACCTTCTCTCCTTTGGTACCGGGTAAGCCAATGAGCCCTGGGGCACCAGGGAGACCCTTAAAAAAAAAAAAGGGAAATAAAACCAGCATTAGGAAAGTTGCTGTAAGGTAGGTTTGTATTGACACAAGTCAGATATAGGAAGAAACTCACAGCCGGTCCCGGGTCGCCGTGCTCCCCCTTCTCACCGCTATCCCCCTTCTCTCCCTTGGCACCATCCAAACCCTGCAGAAATGAAACACCAGCATCAGCCAGGCAACAACCAGGCCTCAGAAATGCCCTCAGGGGAGAAGTTGGTGCTAAAGGTCAGGATAGTGCCCTAATGCAGACCAGTGGAAGCATAAAAAAGCCACAGCTCCAGCCCAAAATGCAGCTGAGACGAGGACAGCCAAGGACAAGGACATCTCCATCAGCTCACACCCTCGCTGCTGTTAATGGTTTCCTCTTGACCAAACCCTAAGAGAAGCAGTTGAAACTAAGGGTTTCAGCCTGTGGGTTTGGAAACCCAGACTTAAATGTGCTGCAGGCCTTCAGGACTCCATAAAGGAAAGCATTTAATATCATAAACCTATTTGGAAGGAAAAATGGCTTGTTTTCAAAAACACCAACTGCTCAACGACACAACCGAGGGATGTGTTGTCACAAACAGCAACAAAAAAATCAGTCCCCAGAGCTGACAGTCTTTTGTGATCCTGCAAATAATGCACTGGCAGCCTGGAAACAGTGGGTGACATTTAATTTATTGACTTACTTTAGGCCCCTGGATTCCTGGAGGACCCTGCAGGAAAGACAATGGTGCGTTTGAAAAGCAGAATTTAAACACAAACCCCCAAAGTACGCTTCCCAAACCATTTCTCACTAAAGTTATGGGCTGACAATGGCCAAATATTTCTTTTTCAAGACAGGTGGTAGTTTATTTGGTTCTCCTGTGTCAGACTGGTGAGAAGAACTGAAAAGGTCTGAATACCACACAGCAATAAGACCCCAAAGAATCAGCTCTGGAGGGTATCAGAGCTCTGGTACATCGGTTCAGCACTGTGAGAAAGCTGAATGGCTGCAAAGCACAACCTTGCTAGAGGCTGATGTGCTCTCCTAAATCAGGTGCTTCTGTCTCCCCAAAGATAGCAGCCACGCTGTAGCTATTCCCTGATTTTTTATTTATTTTTTAATCCCTAAATTAAGATCAGCCCAAGGTGGTTAAACAGAGCAAAGCACCCTCAGCCTCCTTTCACTAATTGCGTGGGGTAAGGGAGCTGCAGCTCTGCTCGATCGCTCACTCCGTGTCCCCGAGTCCTACCATGGGGCCGGGCAATCCGGGGGGTCCTGGCTCCGGGATGATCTGCACAGAGGAATTAAACAGCACGTTAACGGGGCTAGGCACGCGGGCACAGAGAGAAGGCAGGCGGCTTGGGAAGGAAAAGCTCCCATGGCCCAGGATCGCTGTAGCCTGCCCTCTGATTTAATAGAGGTGATCCAGATATCTGCTAATTAAAGAGATGGCTGTGGAATTTATGAATAACCGGATCTTAATAAGCACGAGAATCAGACTGGCCTCTGAAATTAGAGGCGTCAGCCACGGTACTTGGTGCGTTTGTTAGCTGTAAAATGGACAAAGAGGCTATTTTCCACACAGACAAGGAAACAGCCTTTTTGATTAAAAAACACAGAAGAAAACTAGCATTCTCATGTCATTAATAAAAATATGATCAAAACCCACCAACTTTTAAGCAAAAGGCGTGAAAAATGAACAGTGCAGCAGGCCTATAAAACGGCACAAAGCTCAGCATGCTTTGAGAGCAAAACATAACAATGGCATTCAGTATCTCAACCATCAAAGCAAAATCTAAAGCAACTTTGTGGTGCCAAAAAAATTCCCTAATCTTGCCTAACAACTAAGCCGCATTTATTGGCATCTCGACGCTGTCATGGAGAATGGCTGTTATCTGCTCCTCTGCACTACGCCGACAAACTGCCTGCTTGCCGCCTTTGCCTGCCCTTGTCATGGAAGAAGCTTTGTGGTGCCAGTGTCTTACATGGTTATTCTGCAAACACGGCGATCCAGTGTCTCCTTTGTCTCCTTTTGGCCCATCTGCTCCCTAAAAGATAAGAATTTGGCAGTGACGGTGTTGCATCATCCAAAAACAAGAAGAGAAAAAAGCATTTATCTTCCCCCAAACTCCCTCCCTTGCTCAGGCAAAGCTCTGGTTCATCCCTGGGGAGCAGTGCTACCACCCCATGCCCTCTGAAATCAGCCACCATCAGCATCGTTAGGAAAGCTCAGAGCTCTCGCACCCTCCAGCTCTGCTGTGGTGTGGACAAGCCATCACTCAGCTCAGCAAAACCCAGGCCCACACCAAGCATTCACAGAAATCAATGCATTAAAAGCAGCAAGCAGCAGACGTACTGGTGGGCCCGATAAGCCCATTTCTCCCGTCTCTCCTTTTTGTCCTGCAGTCCCTGCGCTGCCTTGGTCACCCTTAGCTCCTTTGGGACCCTAGAATTACACAGAAAACAACTTAATTTGGAGAAAACTGTAAACATGGGTCTTCAGAGCAAAAATAAGCAACCCATTTCTGCCTTTCTTCTGTTTTTCATACAGCACCAACTCAGGAAAACATGCTTTAACATTAAAACTTGCATATACTGATTTTGCAGACTCAGCAGAATTTCACTTGGCCCTAAGCGAGGAATGCAGCAGTTTAGGGTTTGGAAGGTTTTACGCTGGAATTTGAAACAGTGTCTTCATGAACAGCTTGCAGAAGTAGCCCATTTCACTTGGCAGACGTGGACATGAGCAGCATCTGTGTGCTCAGGGCTGGGGGCATTTAATTCCTGGAGGTGCAGCAGGACACCGTGAGGCAGAGCACCTGCTCTTGGGGCAGGCTGAGGTTGGCTTTCCACATGGACAAGCACCATGAACACCCAGTTAACTCCCGACTCAGCTCCCAGTGCTCTCCCACAACGTTTTGCCCGATCCAGCCGTGCCCACCTACCTTTTCGCCATCTAGCCCAGGCGGACCCGGCAGGCCCAGCTCCCCCTGAAGCAACACAAAGGAAGCAGAGCCAACAGTAAATTACATCAGGAAATGATCCCAGGAAAGCGTTTTGAAAGGAAATGAGTTGGTCACTTGCATCAGCTGCTGTGGTTATCAGTTGAGGACTGTGAGGCTGAGGCGCCGCAGCGAGGGCCACGGGCAGGGTTTGGTGACCCTTCACCAGCCTGGCGGGACCTGGGCTTGGATTGAGCAGCACCGAAATCCTGCCCCATCCCAACTGCTGACACTTTTCCACAGATCAAACCTTCTTTTAAGGAAGCTATAACTGATTAGAGGTTATTGGCAATCAGTTCTGAACCAGGACAGTGGCAGTGCTGCCACACGGTGACAGGGCACAGGCCTGTCACACAGCCATGAGGCAGGAGGGGGGGGGCTCAGCAGGGTCTAAGGCACCCCCAGCCCCACCTCAGGCACCTTCCCTGTTTCCTTCTGCCTCCCACCTGCTGACATGTCCCAGAGGGGCTGGGGTTTCACCCCTCGGGCATAGGGTGGGGGTGGATTCGTTCCTCAGGCACCTGCCTCTGGAGGAGGCCAAGGGTCAGAGTAAGGCAGGCCCAGCGTGGCTGCAGAGTGGGAACCTGCTTCTTCAGCCAGAGTTAGCACTGAGGAACATTTCCTTCTGCACACAGTCCCAAATCCCACAGCCACCATCGCCTGCCCCATTTTTGGAGACCCACACGCAGTGTGTGCCTCGTTACACCACAGCCGCTAACGAGCAGGCTGTGAGGCGCAGCCCTCACGGCAGAGGTCGGTCTCACCTTAGGGCCTGGAGCACCTGGCGGGCCTGGCGGCCCCGGGGGACCCGGCGAACCCTGAAACAGCAAACAAAAAGGGCATGAGCACGACTCGGAAACTGTGATAACTGCCCGGAGAGGTGCGTTTGGACAGGGGGAAGGCACAGGAAAGTCTTGCACCCCTGAGCACGTTGTTCTTCCTCTGCTCTGCTGGGTATGGAGAGCACGAAATGCATTGGGATGAACAAGTATTTTGTGACTTCAAGTTACCTCAAAATAGCAACTTCAAGGCTTCTCAGCTGAAAAACAACCCTGTATCACACCCCCAAGCACCTTTTTTCCTTGACTGTATATTCAAACACTATTACACTTGATCACACTGCAAGTTGTGTCGAGCAATCGCTTTTCAAAGCTCTGTACCCAGGTACGGTAAGTGTGCAACACTGCAAACAGGGAGCACGCGGGAAAACTGCAACAACCAAGTTAGCAGCACTCTGTGGCATGTCCCCAGCAATGTCCACATGCAGCACACGAGATCTCCAAGCAGATGGGATCTGCAGACATTTGGGGGAGCCTCTCCAAGGATTTCCATCCCCAACCTCCACTCACAGAGCTCCATGCCACGCTCCTGTCAGAGCAACCCATGCAGACATCTGGCAAATGGTAATTACCATCACTTTGTGTATCCCTGCAGCCTGTTATAAAACAATTAGAATGGTTCTCAAATGTGTCTGTAATTAAATATTTATTCTATTTGCCTTCTTTCATCCTAATGTGAGCAGCAGCGTGAGACTTGGTGCTGTTTGCCCGTGGGTGCAGGGGCAGGTTAGTGCCTGGGCACCACTCCCCATCCTCCCATTGCCTTCAGAGAAAGCCAAGTTGAGGTGATCTGCAGTGAAATCCACACTCAGGGTGGAATAAACTTCCCTCCTGGCTGGCTCTGTGTCAAGGACTCAGGAAGGAGAAGTAGCACAGGGACAGCCCCTTCCCTTCCCATTACCCTGCAGGAATTGGCACGCCCCACTGCGGTGCTCACCTTGAGTGCATCCAGGATCCGGCCATCATAGTCGATCACGACGGTGTCGCCCTGTTCCCCCTTCAGGCCAGGGGGACCCTGCAACCAGGGATGAAGTTTAGTTTCTGCAGCACCTGAGAAGCAGGCAGCATGACAGCAAGGACCCCACACCCAGGTGCCTGGGGGATTATCACCTTACAGACACCAACTTAATCAGTTCCTACACTGACAGCTGTAACCGTCATCCAACTGAGCCTCAACAGCCTATAAATGTAACTGAGAAGTGCATCAACATTATTATTTGAGTACCCCTATTCACGGCTTCCATATTCCAAAAAAGTCACTGGATGGTCGCGCTGAAAAGAAAATGGGACTTGACTGTATTTCCCAGTGCCATCTTCAGTGGCAGTATTTGGTATCTACATAATGATTTGTTTAAATATGCACCATCTGTATTTTCTGACACAGAACTGATCCTTACGTTATTCAACATGCCAAATAGAAAGAGGAGGTGGGGGAGAGCTTGGGTTGAGGCAAATACACAGCATGAAACAGAAAAAAAAATCCTGAACATCCATACCCGTGGTCCGATGGAGCCAATTCCACCCTTCTCGCCAGGTTCACCCTGAAAATCAAAATCATATTTTTGGTTCAGAGACACCAAGGAAAATATGGAATATTTATCTTAAAATTACTGTAACTGCATGAGATGCCAAGATGTGTTTTAGATTAAAAAAGAAAAAAATAAAGTACAGCACCAACAAGGAACTGCTGCTCCCAGGAAAAAAAAAGGCACAACAAAAAACAAAAAACAGATTTGACTTCAGAGCAAATGTATTTTGTTAAACAACCTTAGTGTGAGCTAGCTGACAGCAGGAACACATCTCAAGGTGCAGGGAGCGGAGCGCCCCGTGGCTGCGATGTGCCGTGCTGTCGCACAGCCCCGCTTTCTGCTTCCAGCAGGCTAAGCTCCGTCTCTTTCTGCTGCAGTTTCTGTTTGCTTTAGGCTGATTTTTGTGTGTGGAAAGCTTCAGCTGACACATTTAAACCATTTCTGAGGGCAAGTTTAAGGAAAAAATCTGTGCCAAATTTTTTTTTTTTTTGAAAGTTAGGAGTTTTCGGAAAGCTGAAATGCATTCAGAACGGCACTGTTTGCCCTACCAACAGAAATCTATACATTGGTCAAATTAAAGTCCTTGAAAAAGTAAAAAAATAAAAATAACATGTATAAACACAAAGATTCTTCATAGGAAAAAATAATTTTGGTGGATGCTAGGGGGAACAAACAAGCCCTGGTACTAGGTTTTTAGAAAAAATAGCTAAGGATCATCCAAGCCCGCATTTCTTCATCCTATATTGTCTCATGCCTAGCAAGGAGCCATGGCTGTTTGATACAGAAAGCACAACTGGCTACAGACCCGGCTAAATAAGAAGCAGCTGGGAGGGGATAGTGGCTCATGAACACTGTCCATGTTATATCATCACCACTTAACATATCACGACTGTCTTAGTTCATTTCTTTGCAGCTACGGAGATAAGTAGAACATTAAGGCACACAAGCACTCTCAACTTTGAAGCGATACCACAACAATCGATACACGAAGATCAAAATGCGATCAGAGATTTAGCTGTCTTGGTATAGAGAGGCCACTCGATGGAAAACATTCGAGGAGATGAGTTTTAAAAACTCTCATATCCATGTCCAGCTTTCATTAAGCCGCCAGGAGAAGGTAAAATACTGCTCGAAATCCCCCTGGTTTGTTTCATTTTTGGCATTTTATGAGGCTTTTAGAAAGCAAAGGCTTTTAACACCTACTCAGCTGAAATGTGCTGCTTCAACAGCGCTGCGCCCAGCTTCCCCCGTGGACTGGTAAATAGTAGGCTGGTATTTATTTACCTTGGGTCCTGGCGCACCATCTGTGCCATTCTCTCCCTTTGGACCTGGGCTTCCTTTTTCTCCCTGAAAGCACAACAATTTAGGTGAGTGGTATAGGGGCGGGATGGAGAACAGATTTCTCCAGGTTGTAGCGTTCTTGCTTTGTGTTTACTTTTACGTGCATGCGTGAGCAAAGCTCTGCTTTTAGCCTACAATGTGTCACGTTACCTATGTGCCAAAAGGGGGATTTTCTAGATAAAATGAAGCTTTCAGGCTTATCAGTTTGGCTGCGGGTGGTACATTGAGCTGCAAAGTTAGCCCCAAAACCACAGTGTCAGGAGGCTCCTCCCAGCCTGAACACCAGCTCTGGGCCACCACCAGCAATGCTGTTTGAATTATTTCTGCAAGAGGAGGCTCTCCATGGCAATTCTCCGCAACAGCCAACAAGCTGCAAACTAGGTAGCTCTGCCCAGAAAGCCTCAAGGCAGAGGGAGGGGTTATACATTTCTTTTGGAGCTTTTTGTTCTTTTTACACGTTCAGGCAGAATTGGCACTTCTCAGCCTGCCCCAGCCATGATTTCTTGTGACAAGAAGAAAGCTGGAGAGCAAAAGATGGTGCCAAGCATGTCCATTAGACAGACAACGAGCAGAAACCTACCTTAGAGCCCATAAGTCCTGGTTCCCCTGGGATGCCATCATCACCCTGATGAGACAAAACACATAAAGTGAAACACAAAGAGCTCGTACACATGCCATCGGGATCCAACACTTCATCCACCCCCATCAAGCTTTGGGCAGACCAGAGACCCACTTGTATTTGCAGGATACCAGGGGATGGAGCCCAGGAGGCTGCAGCATGGTCTTCTGCTCCCTCCCTGCTTTGCCCCTGCCTCCTCTGCTCCTGGGGGTTTTCTGGGTTTCAGGTGTCATACTTCAGGGGAACAATGAAGTAAAACTGCCCCGTAGGTGCTCAAGAGGTTAATTTTGCCGGACAGTTATGAAAAATGTTAAGGATATTCTAGTCTGCAAAACACATATGGCCTTGTCTGTTTTGGGGCAAGGCAGAGAGAGGGAAGGGCTGGGCCCTGTCAGCACTTTGCTTTCTGCTCAAGGCAACGATTTATTCACTTCTCAGTGGCGCCAACAGCAGAAAACGTGGACAGCTTGGCCACGTGCATCTCCTGCAGTGTTCAACACCCCAGCCACACAAAGCATCCATCCTTCAGAGCGTGGGAAACCCCCCTCCTGCCCACGAGTAGCGACCACACCAAGATTGTGTGCGGCCATGCCTCACCATGGGCCCTCCCAGGAAACTCAGCCACCACAGGGCCTTTTGGGAGGTAATGTCCTCCAAAAGCTTCTCAGCTGAGCTTGAATTATTTGAGTGAAAGGGATCAGACCTACTGCTTTGTTTGGCATTTGCTATTTCATTCTTTGTCTATTGGGCAGATGTGATTGCAGCTTCTGGCCTGTTTGTCATCATGAAAGCCATGCTGAAGGCACAAGAGCATCTGTGCTGTGGGGTCACGGAGTTGTAGCTCTTTGTGGAGCACGTGTGAGAAACCCCAGGGAATGCCAGCACTGGGCCATTACAGGCAGCCGGGACTACGGCTTCCCCTCTGGCCTCTAGAAGTGGTTTCCCTGGGCTAGCACTGAACAAAGCAAAGAAAAATTCCTGTTTTACCTTCTTCCCTTGCATGCCAGGTTCACCCTTCAACAAGAACAAGCAGAGAAGAGAAAGAGGATTAGGGAAATAACAATAAAAGACCAGTCATACTGATACTCAAAGCTAATTGTAAAGTTAAAATACTTGGCTCGTGTTGATCTGCGTTATCCCTCCAAAACACAAGGAAGCACATTCCTACAGCGTGCTGACTTCCAACCCCCAGCTCCTTCCAGCCCCCCTCATTTCATGATTTTAACACGGGCAGTGACTGCGCTTTTTGTGTAGGTGCCACATTGACACAGACGCCTGCAGCTCCAAGGCAATGGCTAGTTCGATACCTCAGAAATTCTGTGTCTGGTAAATACGGATGAGAGCAATTCCAGTGCGAAATACGTATGTTCATTCCCTGCACCATGCTGAAATATTTCAAGAATTCTTGTGAAAACGAGACAGATAACTTACTACCCACCTTTGGCCCTGGGGGTCCCCTGGCGCCCTGTTGAACACAGAAGTGCTTGGTTATATTTATTTGACAATAGGGCAAGACAGAATAAAAACATTTCCAAGAATATTTTAATCCCCATGAAAAAGTGACACAGATGCCAATTTCCCATCTTCCCTTATAAATACAGCTGTGAGACTGTTGTGCTCCCAGCAGTAATAAATATTTTCTTACATGTGCAATCCGTGTATGTAATTTTGGAGTCAATGGCACATAACCACTTGCTGTGGGGAGCTAAAGGCTGAGGCACAGCACGCGGGGCGAGGGGCACGTACACTGGGCTCGCCCAAGTGCTCTGGGCAGAGCAACGCGAGCGCTTCTGGGCGATACTAACCATGAGGCCATCCTCTCCTGGGTCGCCTTTAAAACCCTGCAAAAACCAAAGAAGTTGACATTGAAACCTCATCCCTCATTCTCCAAAATGCCCAGTGATAACGAGGATGTTCAATAGGATTCTGTTTCAGCCTGTTTCTTTGTGAAATGAATTGCCAGTGATCTGGAGGGTTGCAATAGGTTGTCCAAAGGGAAGAGATCCCCTCTGGGCTCTCTGAGTTATGGCCACGGGCCACAAACACACGCTCCAGCTCCAGCCCATTGCTCCGAAGCTGGAGATGGAAACCCCTCCTGCTCCCTCACCCCATGCCCCAAAGCTTCATGGTGTGAGCAGCCAACAGAGCCAGACAGGGGTGGGATGGCAGCACCGGGGAAGGGGATGCCCCGTCACCATCCTCTCCCTCACTGGGGTGGGGACCACACTGCACATCTCTGGTCCTTACAGGGGGGCCTGGAGGTCCTCTTGGGCCATCCTTTCCTGTGTCACCAGGAGGCCCCCGGGCACCTGGGGGTCCTGGCGGACCAGGGGGGCCAGTGGCTCCTTCTCGACCTTGATCGCCCTGGAAGAAGTTCACACAGACATGGTGAGACGAAGTGGAGTGAGCAAGCCCCTGGCAGCTTGATGTTGGCGTGGGGTGCCCTCAACACATGCACTGCATCCCTGGGCCACGGGCACTCTTCTCCTGGCCCCCACCATCCCGGGGGTTAAGCTGCCAATTCAGGAGGCTGGGAGCAAGCTCGCAGCTGCTTCGAGCCCTTTGTGCTTGGTTCCTTCACCAGGATTTTGCTCAGTGCCTTCTAACAAGGTTTTATCTCATTAAGCCCTTGCCCAGCGACCATATGCATGGAAACCACCAATTCAATGTATCAAAAATAACCCAAACCCGAGGACATGCTGGCACGGAGCATGCACACACATCCAGAGCTTAGTGGACCACACCAAAAAAAAAAAAAAAAAAAAAAAGCCACACACAAAAAGGCAGCACTTAGTATACTTTAAGTACAGCCGTGGTCACACGTTAACATCCAGCTTAGCTCACACCCTGCTGGGATGCAAAGGAAAAAAGCAGCATTCATCTCCTGGTGCTTGCAGGGGCTCGGTACGTGCCGTGTGGGATGGGAGCACCGCGAGGGGCTTCGCTGCCCGGTTATCGGCTCCCGACCCACCGCCGGCTGCCACAGCCCAGCCCCAGAGCTGGGGCCGGGCACATCCAACATGTGGCTACACAATGCAAATCCTCACGAAAAGGCCGTCTCGTAAATCTTTTAGCAACATCTGGATGGGTTACCACCGAGGCAGCAACAGGACTGCGTTTAATATGCGGTCCGCCCTCAAATCAGGGACAAGTGTGGGATTTTCAGAAGTCCTTAAGTGACTTAACAGCACAAATCCCACTGCCTTTCAACAAGACCCGTGCTCCTAAATCACTTACATAATTTTTTAAAAATCCTATTGCAAATCCTGAAAACTGCATGCAATTATGTCAACTCCAAGAGTCTCCCACTGAATTTTTGCCTAATTAAAAAGTCACACTTAGAAGATGAGGATTTAGACAAGTACATTTTAATACGTTTTATAATACCAGCATTGCTCTTTGTCTTGTTGCTTGATCCCTGCTTCCCACAATGGGCCAAATGCTGAAAACCCATCGCTTCTACATCTCCTTGCTTTGCCAAAACTCCCCCTAAATTCTAACAGGGTTCACCGAGGGTGCTCCTAACAAGCACCTGAGCGTAGCTCGTGGCAGCGGCAATGTGAACAGCAGTGCACCATCAGCCAGCAAGAGGGAACAAAAGCAGCCCCAAGAACCACAGCAAACCAGAGGGGGCAGATTCAGTACGTCTACCTTGAGCACTCGCCGGCTAAAGACAAGCTGATCGTTAGCCAGAAATCCGTGATTGAGGTGGGGAAAAACCATCTACAGCCCAGCAAAGTGGAAGGCAGAAGAGGAAAGAGCAAGGATTTAAGATCACAGCAGAAGAGTGAGTTTGAAAGGCCATCAAAATACATAACAAATTCCCTTCGGTAATTAATTAATATGCGAGAAGGAAAAGATTTAGGTAGACAACCCTGGTGGTTTTAACCTTCTGGAGTAGGCAGCAAGGAGGCATAGGGAAACAAACATCTTTTCATGACTTTATGGCACAATAGGACATTCAAGGCTGCTGGGGTACGGAGGATTCCCCACCGCGGGGGTTTTCTGCAGAATGTGGAGCATTTTTCCAGTAAACCCACAGGGGATATATCCCAGAATTTCTCCTGAGACCAAATATTATATTTTTTTTTCCAAGGCTAAAACAAATACTGATGTATTCCCCAGCCTGCAAAGCACAGATAAGTCTCTCAGATTTATATGATGCAAAACCAATGTATTCAGACCATGTCAGTAGTCATTGATATTGTATTTTAGCCTTCCTACTTATCTATCTAGAGAGGAGCAGTAGGCGGATTCCTTTCTCAGGATGTTTCTTGCTTGCTCCCTTTCCACCAACCATCCCCAGGTGCATCCACGGAAGGACTTGCAAGAGGAAAGCCCTCTGTGCAGAGAGCACGTTGTCCAGAAACATTTTGGACGGTTTATAAGGAAAAAAAGCCTTGTCCAAATTACCAAGAGATTTTAAACATTTAGCCAAATGGTCAAATAACAAACACGACTCGATCTGGGGCTTAACACCCTGTGGGCAAGCCCACCTCCTGCCCAGCCTCAGGACAGCTTTGCAGCAGGTGCCCACAGGTGCTCTGATCTGCAGTGACTGTCGTGGTGAACTCTGCAGGATGCGTTACCTGCTGAGCTCTTATCTGCAACCTGAGCTCGACAAGCACCTTTCCTTTTGTACAAAAGAGAGAAAAAGCTCCTTTTCCATCTGCAGCCCAAGCACCAGCCCCCAGCCGTACAGCCACGTGGCCAGCCAGCGTTTAACCCTGCAGCAGCTCAGCAGAGAGGCTGATGTTACTGGTACGTGACTGGTATGTTACTGGTGGTCCTGGCCACCAAGTGGGAAAGCACCACATTGGCTGGTGGGGAAGAGAGCTTGTCTCTGTGGCCAGCAGCTATGGAGGCACAAGGAACAAAAGCTGGAGAACCAACAGGCTCTGGCCACTTTGGCCACCAGGTCGAACGTGGAGCAGCTGAACTGTGAGCCAAGCCACTGCCACCCAAGCCACCACCAGCCCAGCTGCTACCTCCCAGCAGGAAAGCGCCCAAGATGTTTTTTGTAAAGCTCCCGAGTCTTCCTTTGATTTAACCTCACCTCCTCCAGCAACTCCCACCACGGTGTCTCCTCTACTGCCAGAAGTCATAGCTGGGCTCCTTCAAAATATGCAAGGACAAGTGGAAGCCCCTTTTCTCTTGAGAGAGATTGAATCTGATGCTGCTACCACCTGCACTGCACATCCACTAGCCCAGATGTGCAAGCATTCACCAGTCTCATCCTTTGTCTAGACACCTGAATTGTCAGTAAGAGCAGCATTGACCAAGCTAGGGTAATAAATTCAGAGCATCACCCTAAAACCATCTCAGGGAGCAAGTCTGGATTATAGAAACAGTCCTTCCAGAGGTGTAAGGCTATGTTTGATTTTAAGAGCAAAACACCAGCCTGAATTGCAGGGCACAGCGGTCCCAGCCTCAGCAGTGTCCTGCTTTGGCTCCCCCTTTCCTCCCCAGAGCAGAGAGGAGATCTGCTCTTGGTTTCTCCCTGTAAATGCACCCACGGGCATTGTGCCAGCGTGTTGGGTATGTTCAGAAGTTCACTTCCCACCCTGGTCAGCTACGGCCGTGCAGCAGCCTCCCAGGACCCTCTGCAAGCCCTGAAGTCTATAGTACCTAAGACATCCCAACGCGATCTGCTTCCTCAGGTCTCCCAAAATCACCCTCCAACATCTGCATGAGGCACATTCACGTGTGCAATAATTCGGGGTTTTGTCCCTGCTGGTAGCAGGTGTTAATTAGGGGCAGAAACAGAGGCAGTGCAGACACCAATGCATTCAGCAGCTAATTCCTAATTGCCCTCATCTCACTTCCATTGCCTGTGGTCCCTCCAAAAACACACCAAGTGCTACTCGTTAATCATTCCTAATGATAATATTTGTGTTCACTGACACACGCTATCCCGGCTCCATCTCCCCTAGCCATGCACATTTAGGAGCGAGGCAGCACTGGATGTATTCACGGTTATTTATCTTCCCGTTGATTTGATGACTTGCTGTGACATCTTTCAAAATCAGCTAAACAAAGCTACCACCGAAACTTGAGGAAGAAGATAGATTAAATTAAGAAATAAAAAATAATCTGGGCCAGATGGTATTGAGAAGTTTCATATCCAATCCAACCCGGAATGTCTGGAGACATAAAGGAAGCTGTTTTCACAGCCAGGCGCTGTTTGTTAGACCTACTCGTTCGGGGGCTCTGCCAGGCTTATTTCTCCTCTTTTCCTCCCAAGTTGTTTGTGAGACTTTTTATTATTCTTGTGCAAAGAGGCATGAACACATAAAAAAGTAAAACAAAAGTAAAATACAGTCTGGACAAATGCAGATCAGGAGAAAAAAAAAGAGAAAAATATTTTTATCGGTAGATTAAAAAGCAGGACAGACGTTACCTTGGGAGCCGACACCTACATCTGCGGGTCCAGACCGAGCCTCTCCCCCGACAGCTCCTGCAGCAGAGCTGGGAGCTGCGGGCAGGAGGTGGGCTCCCAAATTCCCCAGCAGCACGAACCATGGGAGCTTTGAAGCCTGGCGAGCATCTCCTCCGACAGCATGCAAATCACCAGCCCTGCGTGGTGCCCTCTCCCACAGAAGTTATCCACAGCTCCGGCCAAGGAGTAAAAACTCACGCCCTTGCGCGGCTGAATCACCTCTTAAAGCCTTTTCGGAGTACGTGGGTGGGCACTCGCAAGGCTGAGACCATACACCGAGCCCCTCCGCTGCCAGGGGGGAATAAATCTGTCCGAGGAATTTTAGGGGCTCTCAAAGCCCGAGGGTGGCAGCTCCGGATGCACCCAAGGAGCTGCTTCAGAAAATGGCAAACTTCAAAAAGTCACTTAGCAGCCTCTAGGGGAAAACGAGAAATGACTCCGAGGCATCTCTGGCCGTTAACCACTGAGGTCCTGGCCACGTTTCTGGCAATGCCATTGAAAGCCACCAGCCAGCTCTTGGGTGCCTCCAGCTCCAGCACAACCTGGGCACCAGAGCACCTCAGTGCGAAGGGGACTAAATTATCTGAAGTTTCTTGCCTTTTAAGCGTAGACCGGCAGTATCTAAGAAGCGATCATGTCCTACACTGCACGGGCCACCACCGCTCACTGAAATGCATATTGGCATAGGAGCCCAGTGCTCAGCCTTCCCTGGTGTCCAACAGATCCCCCAAACCATGAAACGAAAATGAAGCAAAACAGCCCCCCACTGGTGATCATTATTTGTTCTTCCCAAATCACAGCACAGGCAGGGAATGGATCACTCTGCCCTCCTCAACAGGTCCCACGGCTGCTCAGCCTGGGCAAAGGCAATCGTTCAGCAGGGGCACGAGACACGACCCATCAGACAAGTCCCATCCCGGGGCTGGACACGATGGCCCTAATCCTCTCCATGACCTTGGGAGCCTGACTCAGGTCCAGTTTTGGCGTGATGGTGGTGGCTGGGATTTATCCATCCACTTCCCATGTACAGATGAGGATCTCCTTGCACACGGTGCACGAATTAACAGACCAGTTTCATGCCTCTCTTTGAGGCAATCGTACCATGGGAGGGACATGCTATATGCTGAAGAATTTGAGCACTGGGGTTTCCCTCAGCATTCGGAGCATTTCTCCTCTGTGGGTTTCTGCAGGCACAGGAGCACCGGCTCAGTGCGAGCCCAGCTGCACCACCAGCTCCGCCTTGGGACCCCCAAGGTCTCGAAGCAGAGCTTCGAGAGAAACAATGGGGTTCGTCTCTGACACTGGAAGAAGGATTAAGGGATAGGAAAGGCCGGTAGCTGTGAAATTCTTCAAGAGGTACCTGAAGATCTTCAGCTCTTGTTTTCCCATGTTCACAGTTAGAAAAATCACCAATGCAAAGAGCTCTGATGGCAAAATAAAACATTTCCAGAGCTGTTACCATACCCCAGTTTGCAGGGACAAAGTAGCATGAAGCCTTGATGTGTGTGGTGACCAAGCCCAAGCGCATTTTAGAGTAAAACAGCATGCTGTGTCACTACTTACCCTTGGGCCGATGTCCCCTGCTTCACCCTGCACGTCAGGCAAAACAGCAAGGGTCAGGCATTAGAGTTCAAATTTCAAACACGAAGGACCAAACGCAGGGGCAGCTGGACGAGGGAGCAGCACACAAGGGAAGTGGGAAGAGTCCTATTGCTTAACATATTCAAAACCAGGGAGGAGAAGGCTTCGAGACAACACAATAGGGAAAGATTCTGCCCTGGCAGGCGATGAAACAGATAATAAATCTGAAATAGCAGATTGTTTCCAACTCCAAGGCTCCCCTAGCAACTGCTTATGTCCTACATATGCAAGGACTAACATCACTTTCAGTACAGCGATGAGCTTCTCCGGCTGCTCAGATTTCACGGGAGGATGTCATGCAAACAGGGCGATGGAGCCCGCAGCCTTTCAGCTCCCTGCTCTTGGAGGGAAAGCAAGAGGAGAGCTGTGTGCCACTCCCCTACCCCTTGAGCAGTTAACCGCAAACCCTGCAGCTTGGACAAGCTTTAAGGCCGTGTTTCTTCCTCCTACATCTCTGCAGCTCCTTCTGCCCTCCCTTTCCTGGGGCTCTTCTGAACGTAACCCAGGAACCTGCTGTCACGGCTCCACGTCCCAACCAAACCCAGCAGTGATGCCATGTAGGCATATTGGGGCAACCTGACCTCAAAGAATCACAGGAGAATAAGGACACACAGCTGGTTTAATAACCGTATGCTAGGGCAGTCTTTACCTTTTCCCCTTTTGGTCCTGGAGGTCCCTGGAAAAAAACATAAGAAGGTGTGACAATTAGGGACCGGCAGAATCATCAGTGCATATGCTCTTAGCCCAACATCAAAACCAAGGGGACTGCAAGAATTCACCACCCTGAGCCACGTTACTATTACTGTAAGTCAAACACTGCTTTATAGGCACTGCTGGGAAGCAGCGAGGAGGCTGTGCCTGCTCGTGCCGGGACCGGGGACCAGAGGAGGACAGGGGCAGAGCAGGCAGCGTGACAGCCGCTCGTGAACATGTGACGCTGAAGAGATGCGAGACATTTCTTGAAGTATTAAATCACTTCTAGAAAAACACATGCTCAGCATATCATTACAACAATTATACATCTGTTTGAAATAAACAAGGAGGATAGGCTGCTTTCTTTGGCCTATTTGCTGAAGACATAAGTCATATTCCCTCCAAACAGCTCTCTGTACAACAGGCAGACAGAGACACGCTGCAGTCCCAAAGAGAAGCTGCGGGGCCAGGCTTTGATGTGCCTGCTCTGCAGCCTTCAGGCACAAAAACATCGAGTCTCGGTTCAGGCCAGCCCACGGTGCTCACCGAAGCAGGAGCGGTGTGGGAAGGAGGCAGGTCAGCAGCATCTGCAGCCCTGCACAGCATCCCTCCTGCTGGCAAGTTGGCTCTGAGCGAGCCTCCTGGCTCCTTGCTCCCATGGAAGAGATCACGAGCAGTCTGGTTTGAGTTTGGACATTTGATAAGTTTGCTTTTACATTCAGATTCTCCCCGTCTCTCACCCAAGGGTCTTGCTCCTGGCCCAACGTGCACACCCTCAGCCATTCGCACCCCCGTTGGTGCAAGAGCACGGTGCTGAGGCTTGCAGCACCGCCAGTGCAGTGCTGGGAGCTGCCCTTCCAGTCTCCCCCTTCTCTGCCACTGCCTTTTTTCTATTTTTTTTTTTTTAATTATTCACATTTACCATCTTCTAGTATAGGATAGAAAACAGGATAAAAAGCAACCTCTGCTGTTACAAAATAAACAGTGTACAGCTATAACAAAACGCTCTCTAGCTAAAAATAAGCACCTGGAATAACTTGGCAATTGTGAAGACTGGCTGACTTCTGCCCACTTTGGGAAAAAAAAAAATCAACAAAAAACCAACACAGTTGAGGACCAAAGCTTGAAAAGATTTCAAATGGTGCCCTCTAGTGAATGTGGAATAAAGTGGGACTGGGAAACAAAAACCCAGAGGTAGCCGTGCGCTCCCGCAGCAACTGAAGGGTTCAGCGCTGGCCAGCGTTCTGCCAAAAGTCAACAAGGCTGTTTCTGTGAAAGCAGCAAGAAAAGAAAGGAGCACCTGACTATTCAGAGGGCTTCCGAGCAGCAAAAAAATCAAAAAAACAGCTCAGAAACTGAAGCCCAGGGTGCTCCATAAAGCACTTTGTCACACAGCGCCAGGGAAACTCGCCTCTCACTTGAGTGCTGCCTGCCCGCGCTCCTTTGGAGCCAAGTAAAGGCAGCTTGGAAACGATTCTTGCCGTGACACCACTTTGTGCTGCCAGCAGCCTGTGACCAACATCCCTGGTTTGCTTCTTCCAAGTAGCTGGGGCAGTCAGCTTCCCACACTCGGTGCACGGCCCTACGGCAGGACGAGCCCCAGCCAAGAGGAGCCATGGAGCTCGTCCCACCTCTGGCTGCAGCAGAGCACAGGAGATCCGTGGCCAAGGCTACTTCAGCCTGTCATCCCCAGCCACCAGCGCTCAAAAAAGACTCAAACTTGCAGATTTCTAAATGCAATCTTTGGACAAAAGAGATTCAGACTTGTAGACTCCCAACTCCACTTTCCCTTCAGCACCAGGATTGCCACCCCGTGTGCCACCTCCGCTCAGGGTTTAAACTTGCACAAGTTTCAGACCACAGACGAACTTTTCTAAACAAACTCTTCCCAGTTATACATATAGAAAATATTTAGATTTGGACCATATTTGAGGTTCTGCCCAGCCATTGCAGAGCAGCACAAATAAAGACGCGACACATTTGGCACTTGGTGCTACTTACTGGTTTGCCATCCAAGCCAAGGGGCCCCTGGAAAGGGAAGGAGAAGACAGCATTATAAAAAAAATAAAATTAAAGACCAACACTTCACAAACACAGCAATATCAGTCGTGCTCTGAAAGAGGCTCTAGATGCATACAGTACAATCTTTGGCTATGTTACTTGTATACCTAATCCTTCATGCATGCGCTCCAGCAAGAAGGTTTCGCAGAAGCCGAGTAAGAGGCGACAACGTGCAGAGCACGGAGAGGCGTGAAAGGAAGCGACAGGGTTAGTGACAGGGACAGGGACGCTGCTCTGGCACAGCACGTGGGACTGCCTCAGGACTGTAAGGACTGAGAGTTCACACACCTGGTTTGGTTAAAGTGAGGGGGGAGCAATTCGTAGCAGCCTCAGAGCTGAACTGGTTGTTTTCAGAGAAGGGCTTGGTACAACCCTGCTGTGTGACGTGGGCAGCAGCCATCGCCCTCAAACCACGCCGTTAAGTCTCGCTGAGGGGATGGGATGTCTGGCTGGGGAGGAAGGAAGGGTGCATCCGTCCCACAGACTGATACCTACGTGCTCTGCTCATCTGCAGCGACATGAGGCTGGAAACACGCCTGGATTTGCGGGGCCGAGCACTGAGCTACCCCAGCTCTCCCCCAAGGTCTCCCTTTTTTAGGGTAGCTGCAGGAGCACAAAGTAAATCCCCATGGTAAGAGGCTATTTCCCCATCGTTCCAGGCACGTGGTCCTCAATTAACACAAGCTGCTGAATGTCTCATGTCGTAGGAGGCCTTCTTGTGAGAAAGGATGGGTGTGGGGAGGGGAAGAGCAGGTGCTCTCATGCCCACGGACAGACACAGCTACCCTGCCGCCAGCTGGGGATGAGGAGAAGCAGCACAAAAGCTGTGGCAGATCCCAGAACGGCATTCCCCGATCCACTGCCTGCAGCCTAGGAACTTGAGCCCTTTCCTCATCTAAACCCAAAGACGACTCAGCCCTGCAAATGTTTCCCAAAGAGCTATGGACCGATGGCTGTGGGTCTGCACAGCACTGGGCCTCCTGCTTCCACCATCCCAGGCTTCCATCATCCCAAATACAAGCCCAGAGTTGTTTTCCTCTCTGTCTGCTGCAAGCACGATGGCTGTGCTTGCGAAAGAGAGCCTGGGTTAGCACATCCCACACCTGCACATGTGTGGGCATCTTCACAGCTTGCTCTACAAACGTGCTGGGCTCACACCTCCTCCCGCACGGAGGACTCATCTCCTGTAAGTCTTAGGGAACCGTTTAGGGTGAACCTTCTTTTAACTTAGCTTAAATCTATGATGCTGAAATGGATAAAAAAAAAAAAGAGAGAAAAAAAATGTTGGCAAGAGGACCCTAAGGGCCGCATTAAAATAGCATCCTTCCAGCTCCCAGCTCCAGCCATCAGTAAGGAATAAATCAGTCTGCGGCAGCCGTGTGGCTGGGCTTGGAACATAAACCCTGGGATGTGCACAGCTCTGTCGGGAGAGAGGCAAAGCCAGAGGGCTGAGTCCTGGATGAAAGATGTTCACCTGAAAATAACGGGGCTTCCTACACGCACAACATTTCCAAATTTACCCAACAGATTACATTATTTCCATGATATAGATTATTTCTCAAGAGGAATTACCAGTGCACAACTGCTACGTAGCATTAACAGAAGGTACAAGCGAATGCAGCCATATCCATCAATACAAAGGCTTACGTAGCTCGGCCAAACTACTCCTGCCCCGACAAACACCCCTCCATACTTTGTCTCACCACGTTTCTTTACATCGTAACACTTGGGCAAGGCACCAGGTCCACCAAGTTTCTTTCCTGAAACTAAGGCTGCTGGAGATGATTCACCTGAAACAGCCATTGGTGATGTCCAGAGGAAAAAACTTGGACCTGAGCAAGGAACCCACAGGACGTCCGAGTTCTCAAAGAAGTAGAAGTCCCACGCATTTAAACAAATTATTAAAAAAAAAAATTACAATAGCGATTCATCAGCTTCTAGCTATTCTTGTATCAGTCCACAAAGGGACATCCAGAAGGAAATAACAATGGCCTATTCAAAGGATGTTTGTTTGAGGGAAAGCATTTAATGCTCGAGAGAAACAATATTCATGGGGCTTTCAAAGGGGCTCTGGGCCAGCCGCTCTGCTGAGCGGACAGCGCTGGGACCCAGGCTCGGAAACCTTTGGTCAGCCTGGGCTGGGGACCCGACGGCTGTGTCCCACCATGGGGATACAGGAGCCAAGGCACCGCGTCGCTGAGCGGCCAGGGAAGCGCACGGGGAGGTGAGGGGACAGCATCAGAAACCTGGGCTCGTTGAATGCAATTTTCAGGAGCACCCACGCATTGAGATCGTCATCATCTCTTCCTTGACTTCTGCCGTTTTAATTAAACATGAAGCGATCTTTAGTTTGTTTGCTAAGTAAGGAACAGAAAAACATCTACTCCCTATTTCCCCCTCGAAAGCCACTTCTGTGCAAGTTTTCATTCTAGAGGAACAAAAATCACTTCCACTTAAACGACCAGCACAAAGCTTATGGAGATGGTGAGCTCTCCGCACACCCTGAGCAAGAGGAGGCATTGCAGCAGCTTTTTGCCTACGGATAAATTTCACTCCTGCCTTTGCCCATGCTCTACTACAAGCCTTCTGCTCCCATTTCAGCTTCAGAGGAAGGGGATGTGCTCAGGTTACAATTAAAAAAAAAAAAAAAAAAAAAAAAAAAAAGAGCCTAAAGAGCCATTTTTGTTTGTTTGTTTGTTTCCATAGCAAACGCTCAGGAGGGTCAAGATGTAGCACCAAAATTTTTGCAGCGGCAGGTGATTTCACCCAATGCTGAGTGTCTGACAGCTTGGGAACAATTTTACGTTCAGCCAAGAGGGAAGACGTAGAGCTCATAAGCAAGCCCTGATTCACAAGCAAAAGCTCTTGCAATAAGTAAACATTTCCCCGCTCCATCCCTCACCCTGCCCAGGGAAAGGCCGGGTGCCAGCCTGGCTAGCCAGCCCTCTGCCTTCCCCCAGTGCCATCGCTGCTGCTGGTGGGGATGGACTCGCTCCAGCAACATTGCAGGAATGTTAGGAAGAAAACATCGAGTGAAAATGCAGCCAGAGATTAAGAGGACAATCCTTCTGAGTTGGGCAATCTTCTCTCATGGTTATTTTTAATGTTTCCTGCTCTGCTAAAAATTAGCACAGGGGTCGGAAGGAACCCTGCAGTCAAATTTTAACAGATTCAAAGGGCTGCCTTCAATCTCTGTCTCTGTGGTTTCGAAAAATCGTAAAATCTTAAATTTGAAAAGGAGGAAAGTGTCAGAACAAAAGGACATGGCAATATTTTAGCATCGCCGCGAAGGGCCCGGGGTCACTGGGCGTTGCGAATGCTGCGGCTGGCAGCGCGGCACAGCCGGGGAGTGGGGACTGTCCCTTCCTATAGACTGCAATGTAAATCCTATAGGCTGTGCCATAAATCCTATAGGCTGCACCATAAATCTTTGCGAACGGGATGGTGCCCGCTGGCAATACGGTTCCTCAGCACATTTTTGCATTAGAAGGGAGCTCTGGCAAAGGCTGTGGGTGAGCACACCCATCCAGCCCCGGCTGTGCTGGACAAAGAGAACTTTGATAATGTGTTGGTTTGTCCAGGAGCAAGAAACCTTTGAGGTTATTGGGATAAATGGGGCAGACCTGGAGAAGTCACGTCCCACCCTGCCCTGTGATGTCTGTGCTGCGGCTCATGGGTTTGTGCCGGCCATTACTCGGAGCAAAACCACACCAAACGTCACGAGGAAAGCAAAGAAACCAGCCAGGCTCCTCCAGCTTCACCACCGCAGGAAGAGGGGAGGAGAGGGGCTGAGCAATGAAACCCAGGTCCTCTAACAACACCTGAGAACCACCGGCACCAACTGCAGGTGAACCGAGTACAAGAGAGGGGCACTGCCAGATGTCTCCTCGTCCTCACCCCCATCACCACTGCCTCTCCTCCTTCCCTAAACCCTCAGGACAGGACCAAAACCACGTTTCTACTCCATCCACCAGCACCACCACGAGAATCCTTTACCCTCCTGAATAACAGCATTTAAATGCATGCATAGAGGTGGCTGACGCCCTACCGACACCATATGTGAAGAACTTACCTGGTGCACTCACTGACGGCAACGTCACTGCAGGTGACAGCTCTGAGCCCAGGTCCCTCTGGGGCTTTTTGGGGTCCCCAGAAGAGGCCGGCCTGAGCCCAGGGCAGTGCCCCTGCTGCTGCCTGCCTGAGGTGGGCACTGAGATCATTAAAGGCAGGGGGGCGTTCATGTTAATTACGGGGTGGGGATGTTCTGATGGGGATGGGATTACTGCCCTGCACTTGTGTCTGTAGATGTGTGCTCATACAGTAATGGAGTATATATTACTGTACATAATATGACATTTTATAGTATTATATACAGTATTTATAAATTCTGTCAATGTGAACATGCTCATTAACAATCTTTGCTTAATAATTTACCCTGTTTGTTAACATTAAATAAAGCCACTTCAGTGTAGTCCAATAGAAATTCTCCTTTGGTCCATGGCTGCACGCAAACCTTAAAAACTACTTTTTTAGGAGGAGACCTGCTGCCCCACGAGGGATACAAGCTTGATAAGGACCAGGCATGTGTTAACAAACCAACCCCTCAAAATCTGTGCTCTATTCCAAAAAATAAAAAAGAAAATCTGTCCTCAGACTGCTGGGCAGCCTTCTGTCCATTCTTTGATGGAAACAAAGCAGAGACGAGCAGTAATTTGCTAAAAACTTCACCCATAATGCAAACCAGACCGTGGGGCTCTGCAAGAGAGCCGCCACCTCGGAGGCTGGGCTGGGCCATGCGCGGCACCCGGTGGCCGCGAGACGCCCACCACACAGCCGTCCTCTGCAAGGAGATCCCAGCGCCCTCATGCAGGACACTGATGCTTGTGAGGGATCTGAAAACAAGGAAAAAGTAAGCCCGGACCCTACTCTGGGGGTGTTTTGGGGGGCAGCATCAGGCCCTGTCCACC